CACACACACACACACACACTCACACGTTCTCCCCCTCTCTCTCTCTCACACACACTCTCTCGGTCGTATCTCTCCACCTCCCTCTCTCCCCCCCCCTCTCTCTCCCTCTCTCTCTCCCCCACCAACACCCTCCCCCATCTCCCCTCGAGCTGTAAACGAACGACGGAAGCACACAGCCCGTACCGGAAGTCTCCGAGGGACAAAGGGGAGAGAACTCTATGTCAACAGGAAACGTCCACAAGCATGGGGTCTGGCCTGGAGATGAGAGCCGGGAAATTTCCCCGCGATCGCCTGCTGGAGATTATGACAGAAGTCAGCTGAGCTGGGAGGACAGGAGGGGATCCGAGGGGAGCGGGGCAGGAACGTTAGGTATCGAGTTCGTGGTCAGTTCCGTTTGTGTGACAAATGTGCCTCATTAGCGATCCCAATCAGCAGGCTGGTAGTTTGTTCAGTTTCGTCTGCCTGCGGTTAAAAGGCGATACAATGAAATTGCTCTGTTTAGCCTGATCTTCTCATATCTTTGCATGGCTACAACGCAAGACAGAGTGAAGTGGAGGTCCATGATCGCCCACGCAAGTCGACAAATCGCCGGATGATGATGATGATGATGATGATGATGATGATGATGATGATGATGATGGCGATCTTTGCAGATTTGGGAAACCAACATGATCTAAAAGCCCATTCATAAAGGTCAATGCAAACTAAGGTTCCGACACGTTTTCTTTGATGTAAGCCTATAGCGGTCAAAAAAATAAGAGGGGATTTACAGCATACACCTGAAACATATAAAAGTTGACTTATTTTCCCAAACACTACACTTTAATGTTGGCCCAAAGAAACACAATTCAAGAGACGGGGTGAGTAATTTTGGAGACTCACGTGGAGCAATTTGTAGGCTAGGTTACTGTAAGTCATTTATTTTGTGATCCTGTGTATGCATCCAAAGAGCGGTTTTAAATATAAGGCCCAAATAGAAAAACATGTTGTAAATTACTGGATCAAGATTTCTTTGAAAAATGTTGTAAATTAATAAATGAGCTAGAATTTTTAACGCGGTCAGACGAATGTGAACAAGCTATAGTCTGAAAGCCTGTGGTCTTTGACTGCTATTGGTTATTGACACAGTGATCGAAAATAAAGAAAAAAACCTTTGCTGTGAATAACAAAGAAGTGTAAAACTAAACTTGCCCCCCCCCCCCCAAAAAAAATATTAAAAAAAATTAAAAAATTCAGTGGGTGGTTAGCGGGTGCTCTGGTGTGAATTTCTCCTCCCTCCCTACCAAACATCTGTCGTCCTTGTCTTGCCTCCTTCTTTTCTATGTATGTCACTCTCTAGTTACTTTTCTAACCTTTGGCTGCAGAGCATGGGTGGGGGCTCTCGTGGTCTAGAGGTTAAAGTGTTCACCTCTAATGCAATAGGTCACGCGTTCGAATCCGGATAGCGACGGAAATTTTCTTCTCTCCTTTTACCTCCTCTCCTGCTCTCTAGCAATGTTCTGTCGTCTGCTTTCGTCTCCACTTTCTTTGCCCCCACCTCTGGGCTCCTGACTCTTTCTGCAGCCTTTCTACCGGTACTCCTTGGCTCCTTCTTACTGCTGTCTTTCAGCCATACCCCTGATCTTATGGTAGGTAAGATCTAACACCTAGCCTTCTCGGACAAGAGCGAATTATCTCGGAAGTCCAGTCTGCAAGTCGTGCACGTTAAAGATCCCAAGGTGGTCCAACATCGATAAGAGTAGGTTTCGGCCGCCACCCGGGCAGACTTCAAAATTTCCTACCAACTGAAAATGTTTAATGTGTCCCGCACGCTCATATGACCTTGTAACTCACTAGATGAATTAGTTAGACAAATCGTAACTTACTAAATAATTTGATCAGACAAACTTTTACTCACTAGATGAGCTAGATAGACAAATTTTAATCTTAACTCAATGGATGAATTAGTTAGACAAATCGTTACTTACTGAATAATTTGATCAGGCTAACCTTAACTCACTAGATGAGTTAGTTAGACAAATTTTAATCTTAACTCACTAGATGAATTAGTTAGACAATTCGTTACTTACTAAATGATTTGATCAGATAAACCTTAACTAAACTAGATGAGTTAGTTAGACAAATTTTAATCTTAACTCACTGGATGTATTACTTAGACAAACCTTAACTGAATGGATGAATTAGTTAGACAAACTTTAAGTCACTAGATGAACTAGTTAGACAAATCTGAACTCACTGAGTCTGAGTCCCGCGCAACCTGGTTCTTGGTAAAAGTTTGACGACGGGCTGGTTTTGGGATACTAGAAAAAAAAAAGAAACATAACTCGACCCCCGTTCGCACAGTCTCTTCAGTCCTTTTTGGGACATGTGAAAGAAGGAAGCATAAATCCCCTTTTCATACAGTTTTTCAATCCTGTTTTGGGATTCTTGAACTAGACAAAAAGAAGCTTATAGTCCCCTTTTCATACAGTTTTTTAAATCTATTTTTGGACATTTAAAAAACAAAACAAAAACATAACTCCCTTTTTCATACTATTTCTTCGATCCGGGTTTGGGACATATGAAAAAGAAAAGAAGCATTATTATTCTCCCCCTTCCTTTCAATTTCTTCAAAACCTGTTCTGGGACATTTGAACTTGAAAAAAAAAAGCATAACCCTCCTTTTCATACCGCTTCTTCAATTCTTTTGTTTTGGACATTTGGAAAAAGAAGCATGACTCCCCTTTTCATACCGTTTCTTCAATCCTGTTTTCCTACTTGAAATATAAAAGGGCAAAAAGCAACATGCATACTTTACTGTCCTTTAATTAACCTCAACCCCCCAAAACTCATGACTTTACTGTCGTCTGGTAAACCTCAAAGAATCAAAACTTATAACTGTACCGCCTTTTTATAACCCCAAACGCACCGACACTTACAACTATACTGCCATCTCAGTAACCTCAAAGCACCAATACTTACAACTTTGCAGCCATAAATTTTAATTACACCCCAAGCACCAAAACTTATAACCTAAATGTCTTCTGATAAATTTTATCTTAAAGAACCAAAACTTATAACTTAACTGTCTTCTGGTATACCTCAAAGAACCAAAATTTATAACTTTACTGTCTTTGTGTAACCCCAAAGCACCATAACTTACAACTATACTGCCATCTCATTTACCTCAAAGAACCCAGACTTACATCTATACTGCCATCTCATTAACCCCAAAGAACCATAACTTACAACTATACTGTCACCTCATTAACCTCAAACAAAGCACCAAAACTTACAACTATACTGCCATCTCATTAATCTCAAACAAAGCACCTAAACTTACAACTATACTGCCATCCCATTAACCCCAAAGCACCCAAACTCATAACGTTACCGTCTTCTGGTTAATCTCCACGCACCAAAACTCATAGCTTCGATGTCATCCCATTAACCCCCCCCTCCCCGCTCCCCTCTCCCCTCTCCCCTCCCCTTTAACCCCTCATCCCTTGTCAACCACACTGCCCAAAGCTGGGAGCTGCTCTCTCCGTCTGTCCACTCTCTCCTCAATAAGAGCCAGCGCAGAGCAGCTCCCGGCCCTCACC